AAAAGAAAAGAAGCCTGTACTACCTGAATTCACTTCACCACCAAAATACTGTACGCTCATTGGATGAGTGGCACAATATTTTTTGGACACAGAAACAAGCAGGATATTATTTTTCTCGAAAAGTGTGTTAATGGTATGACAATCAAGGATCCAGTAGTAACTGATGGATATGACAGTTGTGATGTGTGCCTTTTAGGTAAGATGACTCAGACAAGAAATCGACAACTTGACACTCGTGCCAGGGCAGTTGTTGAAAAGGTTCATGTTGAGTTAGCTGGACTAGTTGGACCGACTGCTAAGGACAATTTCAAATATGCACTTTGTTGTGTTGATGACTTTTCTGGTTTATGCAATGTTTATTTCTTACAGAAGAAATCTGATATTTGTCATGCATTTCAGAAAATCTCGGCAGAAATTAACCCTTTTAGTGATGCTAAATGTGTTAGAAGTGATGGTTGGGGGGGGGGGGTTCAGCTCAATTGAATTTGAATCCCTTTTGATAAAGAATAAGATAAAGCATGAGAGGTCTTCTCCTCATGGTCCTCATGAAATTGGAATAGCAAAGAGATCCTGGCGGACATTGTTTGAAATGGCAAGATGTCTTTTGATTTCTGTCAATTGCCAAAAAAACCTTTGCACTTTTTCAGTCATGTAAGCGGCATATATCCGCAACAGGTGCTTTAATCACCGTCTGAAATTGCAAGAATTGGGCATGGAATGCTTTGCATTTGTTCAAAATATTAGAAAACTTGATGATAGGAAAGAGAGAAGAATTGTCCTTGGTTTTTCTAAGGTCAGTCCCGCATATTTGTTTTATTTTCACCAAACTCAAAAGATTGAGAAAGTGAGAATTATCAAGTTTGGAAGAAGTTTGAAAGTGGATGTGAAAGATGAGAAAGACAATGTATCTGTTCATGTCACCTACGAAAAAGAATTCATTCCTATCCCTTTGATTAAACAAATTTTGAATGATGTATCCCCAGCTGTTGACAATATTGAATCAACAAACCATGAGACAGAAAATTCTCTTGATGAATCTGTGGCTAGACCTAGTAATAATCAGTCAGATATTGTGTCAGACACTGGTAACTGTCAAGATGGGAAGAATAGGCCAAAACGATCTATCACTAAGCCTAAACATTTGGATGACTATGATGTTAAAGATGAGATTGAAAATTATTTGAATGTCACAACAACTCATTATTTCTATGCAATTAATGATGTACCAAAATAATTCAAAGAAGATATTTCTTGTGTTTCAGTCGACAAATGGCAAAATGCAATGCAAGAGGAAATGCGCACTCTTGGAGAGAATTGGTTTTTTTTCAATTGACTCCTTTACCTCCTGGCAGGGAAGCAGTGATTTCGAGGAGGGGGGGGTTGAGATGGATTAATCATATCAAAGAAGGCTAATCAGATGAAGTCCAGTATAATGCTAGACTTGTGTCCAATGGTTATTCCCAGACACCTGCTGTAGATTATCCTGAAACATTCTCACCCACAGCTCACATGACCTCGATACGTACTTTATTGCAGCTACCAGTGTGTAATGATATGAACATACATCAGAAGGATATAAAAGCGGCCTTTTTAAATGCCCTCATTGACACTAAAACATATCTTGAACAACCTGAAGGTTTTCAAACCAAGGGTCACAATGGTGAACAGCTTGTATGGAAATTAAAGAAATCACTTTATCAACTGAAGCAAAGTGGCAGGAAATGGAACCAGACTTTGCATGTACACTTGTTTGAACAGGGTTTTTCTTAACCACTCTCCGATCCATGCGTTTATACGAAAAAGTACTCAGATGAAAAATCCCAAGAAGAAATGAGAATAATCCTCATTGTATGGGTAGAGGATTTACTAAGAAGCAGCTCACAGTGGCACTATCAACATGTGAGGCGGAATACACGGCCTTGGCTGTCGCCATGCAGGACGAAAGATTTTTGAAAGCTTTGTTGAATGACATGGTTGACCTTAATGTCACCCGATTCACTTTGCACTGTGACAATCAGGGAGCTATTGCTCTTGCTGAAAACCCAGTCCATCACAAAAGATCAAAGCACCTTGCTATAAAAATATCATTTTATCAGAAATGAAATAAATAATGATAAATTGCAACTGATTTATGTTCAATCAGAAGAAAGTATTGTTGATGTGTTCACAAAACCAGCAAACAGATTCAGAAACGACAAATTTATTGCTCTGTTGATGGGAAAATAAATTCTCATTAATTCATGAACTGTTCAATGATTTTAATGTTATGACATATTATGATACATGTATTTGATTATTTGTTATCTCTTGTTGTCAATCAGGGGTTCATAAATGCTTTGCACAATTCAGCTACGTATCTGTTCAGTATCTTCCTTGGGGTTTTCTTCATGATATCTCCAGTTACCTTCATAAACTGATTTAATGCATAATATAATTATAATACATACATGTATTTTCTTGTTCAGAATAATTGCGAAGGACAAGACGGAGCCTGTGTATAGTACTGTACAAGTACAGCAGTGCCAACAACAACACAGCAATCATGTGGATTGCATTGGATTTTTTTTTAAAGTGTAATCAGTTCATAATCATAAGTAATGCTGCCTGTGTGTATGTAGGCTATTGTGTAACGTACATGTGGAAACTAAGAGTAGTGAGGGACGGACATTTGTTCTACATGACCATCTGCGTGGCCTTGATGTTTTTCTCAACTCTCCAATATTTGGGAAAACAGTAATTCTTTTTTAAAGTTTTGTCATTATCTCAATTCTATTCCTCTCTCTTGAATTTACACTTTACAAGGGGAAACAACTGTGCAAATAATTTACAACTCTAATGTTAACATTTGGGCTATTTCCCTTTAGTGTTAATTAATTAATAAAATAAAAAATTTTAAAAAGCTAAGTTAGTAATCTGAGTTTAAGCGGGGGTGTTAATAGATAAACTCACCTTAAAGATGTATAGCCGCATTATTATTATTATTATATTATGAAATATTGTAATGCAATTTATTTTTTTACAATGAAAAAACGCACTTCCTGTTTCCTTTGGAAGAAGAAGAACACAACGCTGTGTCTACCTATTTTATTGAACGTATAAATGAATGTAATCCAAGAAATCTAAAGCTCCTAAACGATGTTCAACCCACAATCAACCCACTAAATCAGTTTGCATGGAGTACTAGTAATCGCTACATCCAAATTTTCCGACATCAGAGTTTCTGTTGGGTATTGTTCGCATTCTTGCAGTTGAGCTGGAGACACCTGAAGGCCTTATCATCCTATATTATTTTATATATTGAGACTGACTCTTGTTGGCAGGTCTGACTCACACTTCATCACTCGTCAGTTGAACAAGTATCGATACCTTTCTTTTTGAAGATCACCCGGCACCCTGTAACATTTATACTCGAATCTAACCACATGCTGGCTAAAACACTGAATATGTTCGTAAATTATCAAACCTAGATCTACTGGGGGGGAAAGGATGAAACTATTATTTATGAATATCAATCTCATGGCGCTCGTCAGGGAATCCATTCATGTAGATTGCACGATTTGGAACCTAGCTGACGTCAAATTTTGTGAAGGTGTGTGTGTGTGTGAGAGAGAGAGAGAGAGAGAGAGAGAGAGAGAGAGAGAGAGAGGGGGGGGGGGAGAAAGAAACAGACAGACAGACAGACAGACAGACAGACAGACAGACAGACAGACAGACAGACAGACAGACAGACAGACAGACAGACAGACAAAGAGACAGAGAGGGGGGAGGGGAGAGAAGAAAAGTAATATTGATAGAGGGAAGAATAATTGGTTTCTTTTTCTATGAAGCGAGAAAATATCTTCGCTTAGTATCAAGTACTGGTAGTGGATACAATAGAAGGGAATGATGATGACTATGGATACAATGAATAGGAGAGTGATGTGGCTAGTGGATCGGAGGGCGATACTATAGGAAACGAGGGAGAAGATACTGACATGGATGAAGTGAATGAAGAAGAGGAAAATGAACCTGAAAGCAATAAGTATTGACAATCGTAGAAATGCTACAGCCTGTGATATAAGCACACTTGCGCCAGACTTAGAAATTATGCCACTAACACAAAAAAAACAATATCAGTTAAGCTGTACCACGCCAGTAGCTGATATTACGTAAATATTTTCAACTGATGTTGTTGTTTTACTTCTGTTGAGGTTTATAACTGCTGTTGTCGCTGCTGTTGATGTTATTGATTTATCTATAATACCATGGATTTCTTTCTCGCCGACATTATTAGTACAAGAGTCCAGGTAGATAAGCAGTTCAAAAATGTTTTATGTTTTTTAACTCTACAAGACCGTAGTCGTCACACATTAGTCCGATAAGTAGCAGAAATGTCATTCTACCCTCAACACCCCAGAGGTACGAAAGGAAGGATAAAACAAAATGAATAAGTCAGTAAATAAGCAAGTAAGTAGCTGACAACAACTATTGTTTATTGAGATTCTAAAACTGAACAGAAACACGAATTTGTATCATATTTAAAACATTGGATGTTGTTTTCTAACTTCTTACGTCTCAGAAAAAGAAAATACGATTTGAACATCCGTATGAATAATGAGGTTATGTCCATTAAAAACAAGACAACATGCAACACCAAATGACAAGAATGCGTGTCTCTTATGAGTTAACACATCACTACCTTAGAATTACAAAGTTTTTTCTGACCTGTGGGGTTGTTTTTAGTTACTAGAACTAAGAGGTCAGGAACCATAGTCTGTTCTATCTGTTCTATCAAAATCGCAAGACAATTCAAAGTTGTCAACAAGTTATTCAAAAAGTGTTTTAAAAAAAGCTTGACGTATTGTGAAATTCAACACTTTTTGACATAAAAAAATTCTCAAAGTCAGGTAATGAGCAGATAAAACTTTGTAATACTTGGCTGAGTAGCTAGTTGTCTCTGAAGACCCGTTTATAAAATCCATACGTTTGTGAGGGCGTAACACAGCAAGCGTCAAGGTACCTCACACACCACATTTCCCTCTCATTCTGTTGAGCGTTTCGTCGAGAATTTCTTTAAATTTCGAACTCATGTAGTAATACACAAATATATTCACCGCTGAATTCGTTGCAACCAGCAGAAAGCTTATAGCCCATAGGATCAAATAGATACTTTGGTATTCCCCGTAAAAGCTGTACTCTGGGATGGACATTATCGCAAAGATGTTGGCAACAGTGGGGGACAAACAAGCTATGAAGATTACGGCAATAGACAGAACCATTCTCACAACTTTCATGTCTCTATTCGATAAAGATTCCTGCTTTGCTGTGCTGGAACTCGACTGGCGCCATCTTGATTTGATCAGAAGGTTTTGGACAAGGATTACCGTACACACGATTACTGAGATGAATGAAACAAGCTGGGAAAAAGCGCTGATGAGAAGAGATATACCCTCAATAAAAACGCCGTCGGAGGTATATACTATTCCTATCATGGTCATGTTTACTTCTGAAACATGTTTTGGCCCCAGCCTGATAGAATAGAACGCAGGAGCAACACAAGCAGCCACGCCTATGTATATGCTGACAATTACGTAAATAGTACGTCTCGGTGTTATGATTGTCTTCACTTTGAGGGGTAGAGCGATACACAGACATCTCTCAAACGTGACGAAGGCTGTGATCCAGCTGGAGATCCGCGAGAAAAAAGTGTGAGGCCATCCAGATGTTATATGCATTAAGTCTATACTAATCACAGGTAGAACAGCTTGAGCGAACAAAGGGTTGAAGCAGACAGTACTCCAAAAGAGCGTTGCCAGAGATCCCATATCGGAAACGGCGAGACTGAAAAGAGTGATGTTGACGGTGTCTTTGAATCCTTGCTTGAAAAATACGAAAACGTTAACCGCGTTGAATATAACACCAAAGAAACACATTAATCCGATAGCAACGACATAGAAAACGATGATTAAAACGTTGAGGACATCATCGTCTATGAAAGGATCCTTGTCTTGTTCAAACATTGTAGGTAGAGTATGGCTGTAATTTCCAGAAGCCATTTCTGATATCACAAGCTGCTGGTTCCACAAAAGTGAAGTTTCACAGTCACGCCTATTTTATAGGAAAAAGTGAAAGAACGTGATAACATTTCATATGATATATCTATGCAAATATATAATCACAACAACAACAAAAAGAACAACAAGAACAACAACATTAACAATAATGATGATATGAATATAATAATGAAAATAGTAATAACAATAATATAATTTAAAAAATAAAGAAGAAGAAGAAGAAGAAGAAGAAGAAGAAGAAGAAGAAGAAGAAGAAGAAGAAGAAGAAGAAGAAGAAGAAGAAGAAGAAGAAGAAGAAGAAGAAGGACAAGAAGAAGAACAAGAAGATGAACAAGAAGAATATAATATATAATGGAGCTAAGCCGTTTGTGGGGTCACTATACATTTGTAACACAGGTGCCCATAAAATCTACAAAAATATGATTCAGACAATAACTGTTGGCATATTTTCAAAGTTTGGAAACCATCTTCTGATTTTTCAGGTTTGATGGTTTTTCCAGTAAATCGAAGATCTCAGATGCTTTCACTCTGCCATTAGCCATTTAATATTTTACTGGGGACTACTTCCGTTTCATATTGTGCTTCTTCGTTCGTGTGAGTAGTTCGCATGAACAGAAGTGCGTTTTGACGGTGAAAGTTCGTGGTTCAGAGGTTCATGTAGACAACTCTTTCATTGTTCCGTTAAACCCAAAACTGTCTCTGAGATATCAAGAGCACATAAATGTTGAAATTGTCCACTCTGGCCAGGCTGTGAAACATCTTTACAAGTACATCATAAAAGGCCAAGACCGCATCCGGAGAGAGGTTCGAACAGACACTGAAAATGGTGAAATCTCAAGATATGTTAATGTTCGATACATCTCTGCGAGTGAGGCTTTTTGGAGGCTTTGTGGATTTGAAATCTACAGTAAATACCCACCAGTGGAAAAGTTGCCCTGCCACCTTCCAAATCAACAAACGATTTTGTTCCAGCCTGAAGATATTCAGCAAGTTATTGGTCAAGGACCCCCAGCAACAAAATTCACTGCTTTATTTCAATATGAAATCAGAAGACCCAACAGCAAGAAACATCATCTATCCAGATTTTCCTCACTATTTCAACCTGATTATTGTTGCTGTCCGTTCTTTTCAGAAGATCGCACTTACTACAGCACTGTCAGGCATTGCAGCAACTCTGCTATCAAATGACAGAACATTACACAGCAGATGCAAAATACCTCTGTGCGTGAACGAACAGTCCGTGTTCAGTGTGAGTCCCTTAGATGCCAGTGTCACTTTATTACGCCAAACAGAGCTGCTCATCATTGATGAAGTATCGGTGGGCTAGAAACACATCTTTGAAGCCATAGACCGAACACTTCAAGACATATGTGGGAATAACTCTCTGTTCGGTGGACTAACTGTGCTGCTGTCGGGTGACTGGCGCCAAATACTACCAGTAGTTCGCCATGGCTCAAGATCACAGATAGTCAATGCAACCCTGAAATCATCATATCTGAGGGAGCATGTGAATGTGCTCAGACTGACAAGAAACATGAGGGTTTTGCTTACAGGTGAGACTACTGATTTCTCTAACTATCTACTGAATATTGGTGATGGCATACACAACGTATGCAAGCAAATCGGAGAGTTTGCGACAAAACTTCCAGATGACATCACAGACAATATATTTCCGTTCCATATTCGACGGAAACAATTTCCGGCTAGACCTGCTTTTGCAAGGACTGCCAACAAAGCCCAGGGACAGACTTTGAAAAGGATAGGGGTTTTTTTACAAGGCGATTTTTTTCCCTCATGGACAATCATATGTCGCAATGAGTCGAATTGGGTCCAGGGACTGTATTAGGACACTTGCAAAGAGACCTGTTGCCCAGGACGGAGCTCCAGATGGTGCATATACCGGCAATGTTGTCAACACAGAGGTCCTACGGCAATGAATCAGGTACTGGTACAACATTTTATCGTGGGTTTTCCTATCACTACATCACCGTTGGTAGAACGGGTCTGTGTCTAGTAATAACAATAGCAATAACAACAATAATAATAATAATAATAATAATAATAATAATAATAACAATAATAATAATAATAATAATAATAATAATAATAATAATAATAATAATAATAATAATAATAATAATCAGTCATTACTTGACGATGAGCTGGGTGACTAACAAATCTACAGAAGGGAATATAATATATTCTTTTTAAAAAGGAAGACATGAGGGTTAAGATGACTTGTGGCTTCAATAATTCTATGGCCGATTAAAAAAGCAATATGGCTGAATGTTTGCCAGACTTTGAGCATTGAGCTACCTTAGAATTGGAAAGTTCTACCTGACAGTTTTCGTCGTTTTGCGTTACTTAGACCATGAGGTCAAGAAGTCCTTCAGCGACACTTTCGGAGTATTCTGTAGCCCTTTTTTGTTGTCGCGCTAACTTAATGCTTCCTAAGGACAACTTTTAAAAAATACAGCTTTTGTGATTCTGAAATCAGAATTCTGACGACAAGACAATCTCAGCGAAGTTGAGCGAATCCTTTTGAATTTAGAAACCATACTCTTGGCAATTTGGCCTTTTGAGAGTTGTGGTATTTTGTCCTGCCATTTGGTGCCAAGAGTTCTTCACAGACATTCTGTGTGGGTCTAGGTGTGACTTTGGTGCACTGTACATGTCTCAGCACTCTTCAACAGGGTATATAAATTCTGTACATATTTCAAAATGTTATCATGTTATTTTTATGTAAACGAAATATAATGAAGGAGAGCAGTGCCAAAAACCACAAAAAACACTGGAGGAAAAGGGAAACTATACGAAAAAAAAAGGCCTTTACATAGACAAAAGGAGTAAAACTATCAATATTCATCAATATAGACGAAGAAAGGATACTGTGCAGATAAAAGATAAAATACAGACACCAAAAACATTCCCCGAAATGACAGAACTCTACCCCCTCCCACTAGAAAAACAAACAATTCAACGTGTTCTCTCTCGTACTGTTGCGATGTTTATGGTTGCTGTTGTTGTTGTTGTTGTTGTTGTTGTTGTTGTTGTTTTAGTTATTGGAGATGTTGTCGTTGTTATCATTAATATCTTTCTTTACGACCTACCAGCTTTACTAGTCTCATATCTTTTCGCCATTTACTCTTTAAGGAGGAATATGACACATAAATCTGATCAGCATCAGATCAAAGGAAATGTTGCTGCACATTTCGAACACAAATCAGAGACATTAATTTGCTCACTATTTCAGGGTATGCATATATTTGTGTTCCTCTTTAAAGTTTCAGACAAAGAAAAATTTAAAAATCTGCACTTATAACGAGGTGATGTCTCTATTTTTAAGTTAATCCAGAATAGCAAGTTCTCAACGAGTTAAAGAATATCCCCTAGAAAAGTTTCCAAGAAAAAAGATAAGCTTGTTTTTGTGTGAGAGGCGTTGGGATGCTTTGTCTTGAAATCGAGTTAAACTCTCCTTTAGTGTATTGCTACAATGCTACCTCAGAATTGCTAAATTCTATCAGACATTTTAGGCTGTTTTGGGTTATTAAGACCAGGAGGTCAGAAAACAGTGGTGCCACAGACTGAAGTGCCTTTAGGCCATTCCCAAAGGGGAAACATGAACATCTCCAGTTTTTATACACAGCAGAATTGTAATTGTAAATGGGCTGATTCATCAATGCCATTTGCTGATTTTTCTTTCCTCATCCTTATTATCTTCATTTTTTCCTCTACTTCTTTCGTATGTTTGTCACACTTTTGTGACCAGCTATTTTCGGGGTGCCTTGATAGTCGAAGTAGACTTTGTTTTGAAGTTAGCGAGGTGAGCAGAGTAAGTCTGATTCCCTGTAAGGACTTCTCTGTTGATGTCCACCCCCTGGCGCTCATTTGACATTATGCAGTTGCGAACGCTGTAAAATCTCTACTAAAACTAAGCTAAAAGAAACCAAAGTTCCACCTGCTTTAAAAAATCGTAAGATTATTAGGAGTTGTAGGGCCGAGATTTTAGCCCTTCACGTTCCCAAAACCTGACCAATTTTAGGGGCGACTTCCTGGCCAACTGATTGCGCACGAGCATAGAGTCCGTACGAGGTTACGTGACACGGACACATTTGAGTTTGTTGGCGGCCATTTTTAATGTGGCTAAAAAGTTTGTTTACATGTG